GCACATTTTTAATATAGTCATGCATCAGGTAACAATAGGAATATGTTCTGAGAAATGCATTGTTAGGTGATTGCATTATTATTTGAACATCATAGAATGCACTTACACAACCCAGATGGTGCAGTCTACTACATACCTAGGCTACATGGTATAGCGTATTGTTTCTAGGCTACAAACCTGTACAGCGTGTTACTGTACTGAATACTGTAGGTAATTGTAACTCAGTGGTAATTATTTGTGTCTCTAAACTTATCTAAACATAGAAAAGGTGCAGTAGAAATACAGTATTATAATCTTATAGGACCACAGTTGTATATGCGGTTCATCATTGACCGAAATATCATTATGCAGCACACGACTGTGTTACATTATCTAGACTCAGGTACTGTTAGAATCCTCTGCAGAATATGAATTATTATTTTGTGTTTTAACGATCACCAACTCTGTTAGTTTCAGACTGCTAGTTCTGCCTGGCCTTCCATGGACAGTTATTGGGATGGCCGTCCAGCAATGACAGTGAGAGGTGAAGGGACTTGGTCAAAGTTGCTTAGGAAGACAGAGCCGGGGGGAAGCCGATGCATTGCCCAGTCTTGTGGTGCCTCCTCCTCCTCTGATCTGTAACCGCTGGGATCTGTGCTGTAGGTTAGAGTGAAGGGAAGGGTCTAGGCATCTGTCCCCCATTCTTAATAGGCAAGTGAACCAATTCTTGGAAGTAGCAAGAGTGAATCACCAAACACATTGACCTCTTCCTATAAACTACTGCGTTAAGTAACATCGAGTTGAAGAGAACCCAGCAACTGCCACAGTCTCTGCCACTTCTCTCTTATGGGGGATTATGAGTGGGACTAATTGATATGGTCTATATAAATATTTTTAGAAAACCTGTTTCCAGTTTTGGTCATTCAGAGAGTACAGCTAACATTTAGTTTCTAAAATTCTAATTGTTGTGGTTCAAATAATTCTCTAGTATTTTCTTGTTATTAGAAAAATAGAAAAGACATTAATGAGCCTTAAGAAAAATATATAATCATTTTATTCGTATTCCTTTAATGGTTTCAGATGTTTCCAATTGTCTGTTTTGTATCTTTGCTTGTGGATGAATACATTTGACATAATTCCAAGAACTCCGGAAACATTTCTGGGTTTTGAATCCTGACTTCCCCTCTTGCTAGCTGCGTGACATAGATACCTTTGGGTTTCAGTTTCCTCATCTGTAAAATGAAGGAATTATAGCCCTTCCTGTGTGGGGTCGTTTGAGGATTTGAAGAGTCAATCCCTGTAAAGTGCCTAGAATAGTGTCATTGTTCTTATAGTTTAAAACATTTTGTTTTGTTTTATTGTATTAATAATTAATGCAACCAGAGATAATAGAAAACAACAGAGTAGTAATTTAGGAGACATGTGACCAATTTGTTCTTTCCTTTTTTGTGTGAGCTAATCCACATTCTGAAAGATCCTCTGTTCCTTGTGTTCCTAAAAGCATTTTTCCTTCTTTACAGGCAGAACCTTGCTTTTCCTACTTCAGAGAACCAGCTGGGACACGGGTCCCTCTGTTCATCTGGACTCTTATGCCCTACTCCTTATGTTTATTAAGGGTTTTGGAGGACAGGGAGGATAGGAGTAAAGACAAGAACCTTTTTCATTCTGGAAAAGAATGCAGAGATCAATCTTTCTTATTTTTAAATTCTGGTCTTTAAAAACAAAGTACTAAAAAAAAATCCAGCACTAGCAATTACTTTTTCATTTGGTTTTGAGAAAATGGGCTACTCACTTGGCAATTGGTCATAGGTTTCAACCCTCCTTACAGATTTCCGCAGGCCCATTTGTGCCTAAGGGCTTAGTTTACCTTGCAAAGGCCAGCGCCCCTCCCTGGTAGCAAGGATGAGTTACATGAGGGAGCCCATGCAACTTGCTAGTAATGGAATTTCTGTTGTTGCCATTCCGCAGGAATAGCTCAGAGCCTTTTGGAGATGATTTGTATTAACACTCTGGCCCACAGGTGACCAGGCTCAATCTGAAGTTAAAAGTTGCCCTTGCAGTTCAAGGTGAAAATCTCAGGCCTGTCTTCAGTGGTTTCCTGTTGCTATGATTTATACATGTTTACTGAGGTTTAACTTACATCCATAAAGTGCTTAAGTGCTCAGCTGGACTAATTTTTACATATGTGCACACCCATGTAGCCACTACCCAAATCCAGATCTACAACATCTCCATTTCCCCGGAAGGGTCCCTGTGCCCTCTCCTAGTCCATATTCTACCCAAGGGTAACTGCCATCCTTACTTCTGTCACCATAGATTAATTTTGCCTGCTGTTAAACTTTATATAACTGAAATGCTAAAGGAGTTACTCTTATATCTGGTTTCTTTGGCACAGCATTGTGTCTGTGAGATTCATCCATGTTGCATCTAGATCAGTAATGAGCTCCTTTTCATTGAATGAATATATTCCATTGTCTGAATTCCATGGTAGTGTTCTATTGTATAAATATATCCAATGTGTACATTCTATTGGGATGGGCCTTTGGGTTGTTTCCAGTTTTCGACTATTATAAATAACACTGCTATGCACATTCATGTACATTCCTAATTAATGAGTGACATGACTTTCACCCTCATTCTAACCAAATAGTGGTCCCTCATATCCATGAATGTAGCTTTCAGAAGCTCTGGATGAGAGGAATAAACTGGTGTGTGTTTTTAAAGCACCTTGAGCTTTAGAATTAAAAGATCATTTACTTTGAAAAACAGTAAAAATGGTTGTTTAAAACAGTATGTCCTCAAGCAAGCCATCAGTCATTGCTGAGGCTCAGTTTCCTCATCTGTAAAATGGGCATAATATTAGTATTATGTGAAAATATAATTAGACGATAATGAAGTAAAGCACTTAGATGGCACCTCATCTGAGCACTCAATATTAATTGCTGTTATTGACTTTTAATCATAATGACCATATAGGGTAAAGCCAAAGATGCTATGAAGTTGCACAAATTTATTAACCCATAACGACCAATGCAAACTAAGTAATTTGTTTTAATGCCAGATATGAAGTGAATATGTTGTTGTTTTTCTACTTACTTTAGAATCCCTTTAGCATCACTTTGATTTCTAAAGTTATATAAAACTCCATTTTTTTTTTTATTTTATTTTTTTATTTATTTGTTTATTTATTTGAGACAGAGTCTCACTCTGTTGCCTGGGCTAGCATGCCATGGCATCAGCTTAGCTCACAGCAACCTCAAACTCCTGAGCTCAAGCGATCCTTCTGTCTCAGCCTCCCGAGTAGTTGGGACTACAGGTATGCACCACCATGCCCGGCTAATTTTTTCTATATATTTTTAGTTGTCCAGATAATTTCTTTCTATTTTTAGTAGAAATGGGGTCTCGCTCTTGCTCAGGCTGGTCTCGAACTCCTGAGCTCAAACAATCCTCCCACCTCAGCCTCCCAGAGTGCTAGGATTACAGGCGTGAGCCATCGCGCTCAGCCCAAAACTCTATATTTAAGCAAAGATCTCCTGGATAGCATATGGAGGTGGAAGAACAAAGGAAATTTGGGCTGAGGAATCTGATCATTACGGAGTCAGCCTCAACTTTGGGTCTCAGTTTTAACTCTGGGGTATGGAAAAATTGTTTTCAATGTTTGTACATCTGGCTTAGATTTCTCTCTGTCCCTGACCTTCTAATAATTGGTAATAATTTGAATTCAATATGATCTGATCCAGCATCAGGAATTCCAAAGGCCAGAGAGATAACGCAACTATTTCCAATCTTACCTGTAAGTGGATCCATGGGCCTCCAGAGTGGAATAGCATTAAAGTGTCATATGTTAGATGTAGATGCTGCAGTAGAACCCCGGTGGCTTTGACGAGAATGTGCAAACATGCGAGGCTGAAAAACTGGTATTGACAAGGCAGAGCGCATATTATTGTACAAATAATCTTCAGGCTACACTTCCAAATTTATGGTACTCGTCATTTTAGTATCAGCCAAGAGAGCTACTCCACTGGGCAACCATTCAAAGGAGGGAAAAATAATGCCTCCTACACACACCTAAAGGTATTTCCTAACTCTGAACAGAAACACATTTCAAGAACTTTTTAACTTTTAATTTTGAAATCATTTCAGACTCACAGGAAAGTTGCAAAAATAGCATAAAGAAATGTCTACCCTTCACCCAGACCTCGAATGTTAGCAGTTTTCCACCTTTGCTCCATGCTCCTTTCTCTTTCTCTATTCATACACACACACACACACACACACACACACACACACACAAACACGTGTACTCATATATGCTCTCCTTTTTTCTGTACCATCTGTAAGTTACAGACATTATATCCCTCTACCCCTAAATACTTCAATGTGTATTTCTGAAAACAAGCTCATCCTGTTGCATAACTACAACACAATTATCAAACCCAAAAAATTAACACTGATGCCATGTTTGCACTGTTACCTAATCTGCAGACTTTATTCAAATCTCTCTAATGCTCCAGTAATGTCCTTCATAGCAAATGAAATACAGAATTTTTTGGTCTGGAATCCAAAGATCACATATTGTATTTAGTTGGATTTATTTACTCAGAAAATATTCCAAGGGATCTTGAACACTTGCTGTTAGAAAACCTTTCCTTTAAGATGGTATTTGCTTTCTAGTCAACTGGTTGACCAGATGAAGGAATAGGTCAAAAGAATGTCTTCTAAGAATATTTCCTCATACTTACGGGGACAGGGGGTGTAAAAGTAGTTAAAACAAATATGTTTCGTTGCAGTAATTATATGCAAGCAAGACATTATTAAGGAAGATTCCTTCTTCCTGGCTTTACAGAAAAAAAGTATGAGTCATAGTGCTGCTACGTGTTGTCTGTTGTTTGGGTGCTACAATGTGGCTTGTCTGCCCTGTAACCAATGCATAAAGTTGCAGACATCCATTCTGAGAAAGCAGACGTTGCGTTTCTTCTTTCTTCAGACAATGGTCACAGTAGCTGCACTTTCTTTGGCAGATGTGGTGCTGGAAAAAGCCATGCACAAGTGCATCTTGAAACCCCTCAAGGGGCACGTGGAGGCCATGCTGAAGGACTTCCACGTGGCCGACGGCTCTTGGAAACAACTCAAGGAGAACCTGCAGCTCGTGCGGCAGAGGAACCCGCAGGAGCTGGGGGTTTTCGCCCCAACCCCTGATTTCGTGGATGTGGAGAAAATCAAAGTCAAATTCATGACCATGCAGAAGATGTATTCCCCGGAGAAGAAGGTGATGCTGCTGCTGAGGGTGTGCAAGCTCATTTACACCGTCATGGAGAACAACTCAGGTAAGGCTGTGGGCTCGTGGCCACTGCCCCCCAGGGGCCAGCGGCAGGCCGGTCCCGGCTCAGACTTTCTGATTCCCAACTTCTCCTCCTTTCAGTCTCTTGTTTTTGCAGCAGGTGGCTCACAAAATTGCAGGGTTTTCTCTGATAGCTAGCAAATTAGTCACGTGCAACAGATTAGTGGCACCAAAAAATATAAGCGGATGTGGGCAACAAGATTTTTGTAAAGTGCCTATTTAATCAAATATTTAGTTCAGGGCATGGTTACAAATTCAGTCTCTGGAATTCGAGTTCAAATCCTCCCTCTGCCAAGGAGTGAATTAACTGGGGGACTTTGGTCACCACAGTGAACCTTCTGCACTGCAGTCTGCATCTGAAGTTGGATGTGATCCTTTCCTTCACAAGGATTAGCTGAGGCAGCTCAAGCATAGCCCCACGTGCAATGGGAATATTAGCCATTATCATTACTACGTTTTGGCGAACAAGAGTTTTTGTCAGTGATCTACAGGATGTGTCAAAAGTCTGAGCATTCAGTAATAATGAGGCTTCATTAGAGCCATTTCATTGGCTGCCCTTTTTTGCTACAGGTTGAAGCAATGTAATTGAAATTCACCAAAGAGTTACCAAGTTGGAAAGTAAGTCCTAGGATCTCCCCTGGCTGCTTCCTGTGGATGCAGGAGTAGCCATGATTCATGGAGACTGATTGAGCTCGCATTGTTGCAGGTCTTCAGCGAGCTTATTGTAATTCCAAAAACGATTACCAGCTTTTCTTCTGGGTGAAATTGTTTCACAGAGAAGCAGCAGAGAGAAAACACGGGCTCTATTAACCACTGCTTGAGTAGATAGGAATGTGTGTGCTCATTGCAAATTGTTGAGTGAGGACATTAAAGTCTGAGCTCTTGGTTCTGATAATAACAGCATGTGAACATTGCCTCTGAAATTTGCAAGCATATGTCACATATAGGAAATAAATTTTCCATAGTTAACAGAATCACTGATAAAAATTCCCAAAATAATATCTGTACGGGATGATGTTCCTCTGAAGCACAGGTTCTCAGCCTACACACTAAAGACATTTTAGACAGGATAATTCTTTGTTGTGGGGGATGTCTTGCCTCCTGTAGGAAGTTTAGTGGCATCCCGGATGACATCTGCACCCCCATCCTACACACACCCTACACAACCCTAGTTGTGACATTGAAAAATGTCTCCAGACAGTGCCAAATGTGCCTGCAAGGGGCTGGGTGGGAGGAGGGCAAAATCACCGTCAATTGAGAACCACCATTGTAAAGGAAACTAGAAATAAAGATAAAAAGGTTTTTGCCATACATTGCTATTAATCAATGTGTATACTCAACACATACTTATTTGGCACATTTAAATAAAATTAACTGTGTGCCCACATTGAATACAGAGCAAGGGTTATTCCTGGTTTGAGTTTGGTCTCGTCATCATGTTTATGAATAGTGTACACAGAAAGTAATAGCGATAACACAAAGAATTAGTGTGGGTAAATATTTTGTAAATATTTTATAATACTTGCTGAAGTTAAAATAGTTTTAAAATACTCTATTCTATTACATCATTTAATACAAATCATAAGAGTGAGGAGAAAATCTGTAATGTGTTAACTGACTCCCAGACATTCATTCTGAAATTGGGAGGAGGGCTGGTCTCTGACATTAGCAGCTGAAGGGCCGTAGGGTGCATAGGATTCCAGAAACACCCACCTCTGTTTATAAATAGCGCATTTCCCCAGAATGACTCCTTGCTGTCTAATAAAAGCAGCAAGTAGGATAGGAAAGAAAGAGAGAAAAGTTGGTAAAAACATTCCTGTCCCGCTCTGTCTTCCTACTCCCAGGGAGGATGTATGGCGCCGATGACTTCTTGCCAGTCCTGACTTATGTCATAGCTCAGTGTGACATGCTTGAATTGGACACCGAAATCGAGTACATGATGGAGCTCTTGGACCCATCGCTGTTACACGGAGAAGGTAACCTGCCTTTGAAAAAGTCAGAGGAACTGGGTGGTTGGGTTTTTTTTTTCCATTTTCATTTTTTTAATCGTGATGAAATTCACATAACAGAAAATTAATGATTTTAAAGTGACCAATTCAGTGGCATTTAGTAACATTCACAATGTTGTGTGACCAACACCTCTAACTCCAAAACATTTTTCTCACCCCAAAATAAAACCCTGCTACCATTAAGCATTTACTTGGGTGCTTTTTAACACTTAAATGTTAACTGCAGTTTAAATTTTTTTTTGATTTGAAAGAATTTACTGACCTTTTTCTGATTACAAAAGTAATACATGTTCACCGTAGAAAATCTGGAAAAGTCAGAAAAAACACACAAAAATGTAACCCTGCCACAATTATACATCACTGAGATTGTTTAATGGCAATAAAATCTACTATTCCATAGAATAAATGCCATCTTTTTTAAAGAAATGGTTTCTTTGATTACAAGAGGAAATTATAAACTTTTGTTAGAAGCCAGAAAAATAACCTGCTATTATTGTATCAGTAAAATGGAGAAAGGCCTGCCTTTTGTTTTCACCTTTTTTAAAAATTTTGTTTTCAAGATGAAAACGGTGTTATTTTTTTTCCAATTAAAAAAAAAATAGCGTCTGCTCATGGTTAAAATAAAAATACAATGGAATGAAATCAGGATGTTTTCTTTCAATTTACCTTGGCAGTTCAGGTTCCCCCTTGTCGCCTTGTCTCTGCCTAACCCCTACATGTCTTAGCAGAAATTCCTTCTCCTTACACATCGGAGAGGTATTTTATTGTGGAAATAATTTGGATGTTTGGCACCATAGTGCACAGCCTTGGAAAGCAGAAATACCTGGGTCTCTCATGCAAGCTTGTCTTTTTAAAGGAGAACGAATCGGGGCCTGTGTGTTGTGAAGCCTGTTGATCCATTTCCATGTGTCTGCATAAGAGCCCAGACACACCCTGGGGGTGATTCTCTTTTTCCTTTTCTCCAGTGAGTTTTCATCTGGGCTTGAGTAAAAAGGTCCGCCTGCTGCCAGGATTCCCTAAGGAATGTGTCATCCCAGCATTTTCCCTGGAGGGATCTGAAATACATTGTTATCCCCAGAATGTGTCCCTTAGTGTCCTCAGTCCTCTAATGTGAATTCATCAGGCCTGGGGTTCCCTCCTGCTCTCCCTGGAGCCCTGAGTGTGCCATTCCAGCACCGCTACAGGAAGTGCAGACGTGGGATCAGGGATGAGTGTCTTTCATCCTGTCTGCCACCCCAGACAGGTAGAAACAGGCCTGTCACCCAAAAAGCCCTGCCTGGGCCCTTCCCTGCCTGCTCTGCACTGGGATTGGACAGGAGGGGAAAAGCACATGGTTTTTTCCAGGGACCAAGAGAAGCATATGTCAGTCTAGACGCCATACTTTTCTTTCTTCTACTGCATCATTGTTACAATTTGTGGGGTTTTTTTCTCCCAAGCTTCAATCATGTTTAATTCTAGTGATAAGTATATAGAGCTCCTGGGGCTTTGGGAAAAGGGCATGCCAGTGTCACTCAGAAAATCACCATTCCAGTGCTGATGATGTCTGCTTAGGACAAACATATGCCTGCATCCTGTGGCCAGAGGATAGAGACAAGCTTTTCCTACCCCCTTTCCCAGCGTGGCCCCTGAGCAAGGTGCTGTGTTGATGGCCAGTGGGCAGGTGGCTGCCTTCCCCTCCAGAATCCCACATGAGAGAAAGACACGGGCACAGCCAGCAGGCACACAGAGCAGCCACTGAGCTCGCCCCTGAACTGGAGCCTGCTTCCGCTTAACTGTGTCTGGGGCTTCTTGGCCTCCTTCCCTGGGAGAGCGGCCGGCCCAGTCGGGTTGGCTGTGGTTACAGACCAGGCCTGCACAGACCAACCGAAGCTATGCAGCCTGGGAGGAAGGGGCTGCGGAGTGGTAGCAACACGTCACAGCTCAGGCTTTTCCATGGCCTGCCCAAAGCCCTCTTTGGTTTGCGGGGTAGCAGCCACATCTCTTTTCTGCTGCTTAAGCAGGTATTCTCATTTACGGAAAAGGCGTCACAGAATCCCTTAGAAGTGCACAGCTCTCGCGGTAGGGTTATAGTTTTGCAGAAATTTAAAACCCTCCTCTAATTGTATCCACATGTTCCAAAATGTGGTCAATTTTGTGCTTACAGCATTTTGAGTTTTCTGCTTAGTGGCCTCAACAGAGCTATGGGGTCTAAAATTTGAAGTCCAAAGACACCCTCCTCCACCCCACAAAGATTGTAACAGTCTTCCAGGTCCTACCTCCAATGCCCACCCCTCCACGCAGCCTTTCTTGACTACTTATGTCCACTTAGCTTTCTCCCGAAATTCCCTGTGTAGGATTTACCCTCTGTGCTGCTGAGTTTCACACTCAGTCACGTGCTGATTTGTTCGTGGGGCAAATAGTAAAGATGAACAAGTCAAAACTCTGAACTGGGGAATTTACACCATAGATGGTAACGTCAGGGAAACCCTTCAAATCACCCTAAACAAAAAGCTTGACATGTGATATATGTATGTAAAGCTCAGGGTGCCCAGTAAAAAATAACCTCTGAATCTCAGTCAGCAGCCTGAAAACAACAAAGGTGTTTTCCGTTCTAGAGCTCACATCCAATGGGAGCTTGCAGGGTGTGCTGTTCATGATACAGACGGATGGAGCAGTTGCCATCTTGCATGTTGCCACTTCTTGACCAGAGTTCTGCAGGGGCTTGCACGAGCAGTTAAATCCTTTAGCCGTGGAGGTGACACTCCGCACAAAACCCATTTCACCACAACTAACTTCTGGTTCCTGAAGGAATAAATAGGCAGTGTCTGTCTTCTTTAATATGTTTATCAAATTCTAGAGAGCAGGGACTCAGATTCTGTTTCTTACAAACCCACCCCCTGTTCTATACCTGGCCTTGGTTCACAGTAGAGACTCAATGAGCATTCCAACAAAGAATGAGTCTAAATAAGTTATTATTATTATTATTATTTTGAAACAGGGTCTCACTCTGTCGCCCAGGCTGGAGTGTAATGGCACGATCATAGCTCACCACGGCCTCCAACTCCTGGGGTCAAGCGATCCTCCTGCCTTGGCCTCCTGAGTAGCTGGGACTACAGGCATGTGCCACCACGCTGGGCTGACTCTAAATTTAAAATTTGCTGTGCCCAATTAGGGAACTTGTAATGAACATTTGGGGCGCCCCCTTGTGGCTCTCTAGCACAGAGATTATAAATTCCTCCACAGGCACCTAATTATATTTTAGGACAAATTATATTTTAGGGCAAAACTATGAACAAATTCGTACACATCTCACAGTGTCATAAGTCCTTTAACACTCCCCCAAAACACAAGGTCATTCCCAAATGCACCATCAAAGGGATAGCACTTGCTTTTCCTTGTAAATTATTCTTTCCAAAATACCCCAGATGATACCTTAGTCCCAAAGTAAGGGTAAGGAAGGGAATCAGAAGAAAGAAGTTATTTTGAAGTACCCATAGTTTTGTGAACACACTTGTGTATGGTGCAGTTCTTTCGAAGTGGACAGTTTACTTAAAATTTAGAAACTATCAATTTCTAAAAGAAAAGCCCAAGAACAAGTATTGCCCTGACCTTTTCTGGCAAACCATTTTCACAATTGTACTTTAATAATTTCGAGGTTTTTGTCGGTGTCACCCACTAGAATGGAAATCCCATCAGTGAAAACAGGAACGTTGTCAGCCTGGCCTGTTGGTGCTCCCCTGGCCCCGGCACAGGCCTGGGTCACTCTGTAAATGTCTGAGATATGGGCGTGTGAATGGATGGATGAGAGAGAGAATGATATGCTCTCCGAGGTGTGCGCCTGTGATCCCACAAGGAAATGCACGTGGAAAAAATGGAGGAAATACAAAATATGGCCTCCAACACTCGTGTACCCTGTGATCACCGGAAGGTGACCCTCTTGGAGAACTGGCTCTTCCTGCTCTTTTCCAGGAGGCTACTACTTGACAAGCGCCTACGGAGCACTTTCTCTGATAAAGAATTTCCAAGAAGAACAAGCAGCGAGACTGCTCAGCTCAGAGACCAGAGACACCCTGAGGCAGTGGCACAAGCGGAGGACCACCAACCGGACCATCCCTTCCGTGGACGACTTCCAGGTGCGCAGTGGGGTACCCCACGAGCTGGCTCACCCAGCACATCCCAGCTTGGGGCCCCCGGGGTCCTCCCTTTGTTGAATCATCTGGTGGAAAAGGGATATTTCAAACCACACTCTGACCTTGTTCTTTCACTTCTCTTTCTTTAAATGTATCTGCACATATAGACATAGGATGTTTGGCCCACATTTTGCTGCCCTTAAGAAAACCAAGTCAAATTAAGGCAGGATTTCTCCCAGAACAAGCAGACAGGAAGTCAAAAAGCAGGAAGAAACGCTTAGCCTGGGCCTCAGATATTTTGTTCCATCAGGAAGCAGCAGCGTTGTGAGCTGCAGTTGGCCTGGTCTCCCTCTGGGAAGCGGGAGACATACGGTGATGTCCTTCCCCGCTCCTTCCCTTTTCTCTTGCCCACTCCCCAAAACAGAAGATTCCAGAATCTCAGCAGCCCATTGGGGCCCAGAGTGAGCCGGCAAGCATTAGAGTAAGTCCTGCTCAGGTCCCCAGGCTGGAGTTTTTTTCATGACCCCAAATTGGTGTCTGGGAATGTGGGCTCCCCAAGGAGCTTATGCCTTAGAGAGGAGAGGTGGGTTAGGGCCATAGAAATCTTTACCCAACACAACAATTTCTGATTTGTTCACAGTCTATGAAATTAGGAGCGAGTTGGCAAATGACTTTGAATAATATTTTGAAGGCTTTAATTGAATTATAAAACCTACGTGTGCTTTGTTTCTATGGGCCACATGCTGACTTTCCTAGCAGGGAACTGGAAAAGCAGGACAGATTCACCTTCCTGGCTTTTTTTTTTTTTTTTTTTTTTGTCTCCTTAATGCTCTGAAAATAATGAAAAGGTACATTTGGTTCAAAGTCAGCCCACCATTGAAAGGCAATATCAGCTCATTCTTCTCCAAGATTGCAGTAGACCCAAAAGTTCCTTCCCAGGCACATAAATCTAAAGAGCAAGAACGCATGCTGTGCGCTCCCCCAGCCCCTTGGGCTGTTGAAGAATGTCCATGCGTTAAGTGATTTCGCACATGCAGACCCTGGGATGCTACCATATTGGCTCTCCAGGGAGGGGAGAGAAGAAGAGAGGAAATGAGAAAAGCTCATTCTCCCATCCCCCCACCTGCCACCAGACCCTTCCTCCTGTCACCTCTCTCCATCTGGAGACCCCTAGACACCAAGGAGCCCCTTCCTTCTGTGTACCCCCTCCTCGTTGACCTTGCTCACCACAGAGACGCATACATTCTCAGAACATAATCTCAGAGGGAAGTTTTTAGCACTTTACTAAGGGGGAAATACAAAAGCTCAGACACAAAGGTCCACTTGAAATCCCTAAATCAGAGGCCACAGACACAAATGTCTCCCCACATTGGACAAGGCAGTATACCATAGTGATAAAGGCCTTGGGGCTGGCTCTGCCATGTCTTTGCTGTGTGCCCTTGGGCAAGTTACTTGGGCTCTTGGTGCCTCAGTTTCTTCACTGGTCACATGGGGATTGTGGATGGTGTAGACGTCCTTCACAGAGCCCCCTTCAGGAGTCATTGAGTAACTACACACAATATACTAGAGCGTCTTGTTGGGAGTGGGGTGGGAAAGGGGGCCACGTGCACACTGCAAAGGTTTCAAATTCAAGACTGTCAGTCTGTGTGCACCTCCACTAGCTCACCTCTCTGCAAAGTCACTGGGCTAGCACACGTCCTCACCAGAAGCAGATACGAAACATATCTTACATACACAGAGCACACCATCCTTCCGAAGAGCTTTCCCTTCCATTATCCATCCAAACAAACCCTCGTGGGAACCACATGGGAACCGGGGCAGAGAGCACGCCTTCCCTTCACTCCTGAGCAGGGCCGCCAGATTTGGAACAAGAAAATGTATTTGTTTTCTAGCTGAAACTCAAATTTAGCCAGGTGTTCTATATTTTATATGATAACCCCACCCTTAAGGAAATGGAAACTGAATGGTTATTTGAGGTCACAAAACCTAAGAGAGCCTAGGATGACCTGAGGATTCTTGGTGCCTGGCTTGGGCTTTGTGTCATGTGAGACCGCAGGTTTATTGTATTTCGTGATGGCGCACACCTGGAACCATTCACAGCGCCGAGCCTGCAGATGTCTCCTTTTACGTCCCTGCAGCACCGCTGTGCTCTTAATCAGTTCCGTCTCCAAAATATTTGGCAGAATCAACATCCTCCTCCTCCTGACTTTTTCCACATTGCACCGGAGCCACTTGGAGCCTCGCAGTGGGTTGAACCACGTGAAATCACCATTCAGGGAGATCAAAAATGGTCAAATACCAGCAGTTTCTTGTGATTCAACCTAACACTATTGCCCTCACTTAAGCTTCCTAAGGAAATGTGTCAGACGTGAACATAAGCCAAGCACAGTGGCGCCCGCCTGTTGTCTCAGCTGCTGGGGAGGCTGAGGCGGGAAGATCGCTTACGCCCAGGGGTTCCCGGCTGCAGTGAGCTATGATCACGCCACTGCACTCTAGCTAGGCGACAGAGCAAGACCCTGTCTCTAAAAGAAAAAAGAAAAGGAAAAAAGCAAGCATAGTATGTGCCATTGTGTCTAGATATTTTAAATCTCTTCCTGCTGACTCCTGGTTCAGGCTCTTCTGCTATTTGGTTTATTTCTCAAGCTGGGAATAAGCCCAGCGTTGGATGTGGGTGACACTCTTAAGCAGGGATTTCTTAACCAGGCTTTATGAGGGATCCTGAAAGATCAGAACCAGGACTTCCTGCCTCGTATTAAATTAAAATGCAGCCGCTTGGTCCATCTGGTTGGACAGTGGACAGTCCAGCTCTCCATTGTCCAAACTCAGATGAGCCTCTTCCCTTGCAATTCGAGGGCTAGCAGCTGACAGTAGACACCGTGACAAGCCAGGGCCTTGAAGCACCCACACTTAGATCTTTCACTTGTTTCCCATCGTGTGCACTTTTCTCTTTTGACTTTGTTGTGACATCTCTCTTCCCATCTGCAGAATTACCTCCGAGTTGCATTCCAGGAGGTCAGCAGTGGCTGCACGGGAAAGACCCTCCTCGTGAGACCGTACGTCACCACCGAGGATGTGTGTCAGATCTGTGCTGAGAAATTTAAGGTGAGGGACCCTGAGGAGTACAGCCTCTTTCTCTTTGTTGATGAAACGTGGCAGCAACTGGCAGAAGACACTTACCCTCAAAAGATCAAGGCTGAGCTGCACAGCCGACCACAACCCCACATCTTCCACTTTGTCTACAAGCGCGTCAAGAATGATTCTTATGGCATCATCTTCCAGAATGAGGACGAGGACCTCACCACCTCATAGAAGACACGTGGGACTTCCCAGTGGTGCATCCAAAGGGGGCTAGGAGCCTTGCCTTCTAGCTTCTGTGTGCTTGAGCTTGAAAAGCAGTCACCTCCTCGGGGACCTCTCGGTTCAGTGACTAAGCCATCCATGGGCCAACCTGGCCAAGGGCATCGTAGCCACACGAGGTAGCTGAGGCTTGTGAAACAGTAGGATTCTCCTTGAGCAATGGAGAATTGCATTTGACGGTTCAAGTGTCCTGAGATTGTTTGCTACCTACCCTCGGCCAGGTTCTAGGTTGGCTTATGTGTATGTATATATGTCGAATAAACATTTAAGATACGAGCTCTTCTCTTGAATTCAACAGCAGGTGTTTGACAAGACTGTCCGATGAAGAGAGTCAGGTACTTCTCGGTTCTGTGGATGGCTCCATCCTTTCTCCCTTCCTTTTTTTCTTTTTTCTTTTTCTTTCATTCTTTCTTTTCTTTCTTTTTCTTTTTTTTTTACAAAGAGGCTTTGTGTTTTTATATATTTCATAGAAATTTTTATAGCAGTTGCAGGTAAACTGTCAGGATTGGTTTTTAAAATATTTTTGTAACTTTAAAATATTCTATAATTATGCATGTGATTTTAACATTTAATATTCGAAAAGAAATCTCTTGCTGGATTTGAGAGTATTGCATTTTATAGGTCTCTCTTCTGTAACTGGATGTTTTGGCAACTTTGTGGGGAGAGACTGCTGGATTTCTTAAAGCAATATATTCCTGACACTGGCCACAGAATGCCTTTGGAAATCTGATGTACTGTTATCTTGTTCACGTTCAGTGGTGTTTTACTGTTTTGTTTTTTAAACAAGTGATGCTGACAATAAGGAGAGAAATGAATGTAGTGAAAGGTAGAGAGAGAAATACAGACTCTAACAAAGGACTGGGGAGTGTAGTCTGCTGGTTCAGGCTCTTTGAAAGACATAGGAAAAGGAAATGGGAGGAACCACCTATGCTTAAAAAACTGTAAATACGCAATGAGATTTGGCAAAATCTATTCCATATATTATCTGCTTTTGGAAACGATTTTGAAAACCCCATGAGGAAAAAAAATTAAGGATGACACTTCCCCCTGCCCTTTCCATATAAATCAAAACTAACAGCATCAAATTATTTGGGGCAGAAACCAAGTAATGTATAACGTGGCTTTTGTTTGAGTTAAATAAGATGTTATAAATTGGAAAAGTTTGAGAATGCACCCAAAACCCATCTGTATCATAAGAATTTATGGTGCAGTTAAATTTGTGTTTTATAAAAGCAGTTTGCAGGTGCACAAACTATGAGGGTCTTGTATCAGTGTAACACAGGTAGTTACAAAAACATGTTCTTGTACTGTGTAAAGATGCGTAGTCATCTAATTTGATTGGCTTTGTACCTTGTACCTTTTTTAGCCTTGGCTTTTGTTGTACTAGAACCCTCAGCACATACTGTGTTGTATTTCCTTTTGTAAATGATTTTTTAAATGGAATTTTGCACATAATACATTGTAATACTATACGATAATCATGTGTGAAAATAATTTTTGAAATATTCTGCAGTGGTCTTGTTTCTTTTAGAGTGGAATATAGTCATGCACCACACAATGTCACATAAATCTGAAATGTGAGCCAGGGTTTATGGTTAGGTTTATGGTTACATAATCTATAGCAAGTACACAGGAAAGCTCACATTTTTCAGAAGCTCTTGTACTGATATTAGGCGAAAGTTAAGGAGAAGGATGAAAAGATCATCCTCTGACCTGAAAGGGTTCCACTGTTACCTAGTACGGTGCTTGGCATAGTTGGACCCAGAGCAGATCACAGACAGTCTGAGCGTGGAGTTATCCAGGGCCCTATGGGCCGTCCCTGTCCTGACAAAACCTCTGTAATGCCCGGGCTGACAGTTCAGCACTGTTTCAAAATCAGTAGGGCAGAGGCTTGGTTTTCTTTGCTGCCATAGTCCTCATACTTGGAACCATGTCTGGCATATAGTAAGTGCTCAATAAATCCTTGTTGGCTGAAGGAAGGAAAACATGCGTTTAGAAGGCTTCCTAACCCATCAGTATAGATGCTTAAAGGTCAGAGCAAGGGCTGTGTGAGCTGCCCGCTTTTTAAATTTACAATGAATTAAAAGATGACAGCTCAATCCATGTAGTTGTCTTCCCCACAGCTTTCAAATTATGATCATCAGTCTTTCCTTGTACTTAGAAATCGGCACACTGTTGATTTAAAGCAAGTCACAACCTCAGAGCAGCCTTCAGCAGGATGAGAGCGTGATGAGAATAGGAAAAGTTAGCGTGGGCAGAAGGCAACATCACAAGACAGTCCCTGGTTTTGTCATTGGGCAATATTTCCCTGTTAAAATTACAACACAACACATGTGTCTCCACTTTTTCCCCCACGCAGGCATTTCTCACTTCTCAAATTGCCAGGAAACAGACTTGGCGGAAGGTTGGAAGGAATAAGAGGAGAGTAAATATATATATGCTGGGTGGAGGAAGAAAGAATGCATTTCCAAACCTAAAAATATCTTATAAGAGCTGAACGCCAGCCAGCGGAAGAGTTTTGTTTTTTTTTTTTTTTTTTTTTAATGTTGTAGCACTGCCAAATATCCCCCTCACTCCAGGGACACAGAATATAAATAGAAACTGTTAAAGTAGTTCACATCTTGTGGAAGTTACAACTTTAGATGTATAAGAAAACACAAAGGCCAGGAAGCCCAGCTATGAATGCTTCCATTCACAAATGTGGTTTCATCTCCACTGGGCAGCTCTTACCTTCATTTTCCTTAAGACCCTTGAAACCAGAGGGCATTCTGATTTTTAACAGCACACCTGGTTACTCCCCAGGAGTCTAAGAGAAACAGCATGGGGGAAGGGCAGAGTGCGGGGCATATGGAACACAGGGATTTTAGTCATCTGGCAGTATCTGACAGTGAAATTCTAAATAGCATTTTTTCAGACCATTTTCCTGATGGTGAGTTTGAGACTAGAAGTGCAGCTTGCCATTTAGTTAACCCTAATCAAGTCAGAAATATGAAAAAACGTCACATAATATTGCAGAATCATAAGCAGGTGACAAAGAAAGGAAGGAAAGAAGGCAGAGAATATAAGAGGGAGAAGGAAAAGTTCTGGCATTTGTCTCAGGGAACAGGTTCTGAGTTGAGAAAGATCTATTTTACTCGAACATCAAAGATGGGTGGCACTTGGTACAAACTTTTCCCACATGGATACTGACTTTGCTAGGAAAATAGGCATGGGAAGCTAAAAAAAAATTATTCTGCAAGGTCTGGGCCAATAATCTACATAATAGTAGTAACCACACCTGCCCTCAGAAACCTCCATGGAGAAACTTTGATTGGAGCGAGGCAGTTGGGGGGTTGGAGGGGGCATTTCTTATCTTGATTCTAATATACTCTTCCATTCAAAAGTAGAATTGTCTGAATTCTGCAGTTCTACATAATAGACATCTAGAGAGAATCATTATATAAACGAATCTAAGTATTTCCTTTGACTAACCACGTTAGAACTATGGCAGCCACGCCTCCTTTCTCACTGCCTGGGGTGAGAGGCTCCGAGTCTGAGGCCCAGGGGTCGCCAGGGAGGAGATTCCAAACAGCCTGAACCTCTAACCAGCCCTGGGGTTCCTGGGGGGATATCACTACACGAGATTAGCTCGATTCCTTCCTTTTCTTATCATTCTCCCACCATGACTCTGGAGAGTGTGTCTTCCATCACACAGTAGGTTTTAAAATGCTCTTACCGTATCCCAAGGCTTCTTGCCAAGAAGCAGGCTCTGATCTTTTTACAACTCGTTTCCCCTGTTCCAATCAAAGACTCAAAGTGTGAACGGGGACCCCCTGCAAACATTCCCTGCCCACACTGTCTCCAAGACTCAATGTTCTCTGTTCCTACTTGAACAGACAGTTCTCAGCTTTGGCTGCATCTTGAAATCACCTGGGAGCTTTTAAAACTCCCAATGCCCCAGCTGCCCGGAACAGGAGAGTCTCTGCAGATGGGACCCAGACAGCCACATTTACTTAAACTTCCAAGGTGCTTCTACTGTGAAAATGGGGCTGAGAACTACTGGTTTACATCAAGACACCTTAAGATAAAAACACACCTGGGAGAGGTAACATCTTGTCTATGGCCACTAACCCCTAACCAAACACACACTCTCAACTTTTATTTGGCTGGTGGAAGCCCATGGAATATATACCTTTAGCTGTCTAGTAGAAATACGAAGCAAGCCACACAGGTAATTGTAAATTATCTAGTAGTCACATTTCAAAAAGCAAAAAGAAATGGGTAAAATCAATTTTAGTAATATATTTTATTTAACCCATGATATCTCAAATGTATTTCAACAATTTATCAAGAATATTAAAGAGGTATTTTTATATTTTTAAACATTTTAATATCATCTTCAAAATCTTGTGTGCATTTTGCACTTACAGCACAGCTCATTTCACACTGGCCACATCTCAGGTGCTCAACAAACACATGTAGCCAGCGACTACCATATTGGATAGTACAGTTCTAGCATATTAACTAGGAATGCTTTTAAAAGCAAAAAAAGAAAAAAAAAGTATGTGTATATAAAATAAAATCACATCCACAGGTTATATCTACAAAGAAATACACGCATCCCTACTGTCAAGCATATTTACTTATTACTAGTGAGGATAAAAATAGCATCTTGCTTTATCGGGGGCTGTGGTAAGGCAAGTATAAACTAATTCCTGCAAAGTGCTTAGAACAGCCAAGCACCACACCATAAGCACCATTAAACATTAATTATTGTCATTAGATAATCAACTGCTTTGACATTTTCCGACTATGGCTGATTTCTACTCACCCACTCATGTTATCATCTTCTGTCAAGTTTCTTATGACATAGAAAAAAGGCAGTAACAGGTATCAAAGGTTTAAGAAAAATGTATTGGCGTGGGATGCCCAGAGTGGGAGGATCAAAACTGAAATCAATACTATTCATTAACTTGGTTGTTGTTGCTGGTGATGGCGGTGATGGTGGAGTGTGGGTGTGTGAATTGGAAGTAGCCTATTTTTCCCAGTATTCCCTACTGGCCGAGAGTATTATCAGGGCCCTAAGCCAGTGGTGACTTTTGCCAAGAAGGGGAAAAGGGAGCAAGAGAGCTTCCAAAGACAAGTCTTGCTGGTTTCCCAGACATGGCCAGAGGAGGCTAAAATAGCACTCCACAGAAAGGAATTATTTAAATAAAAGCATAATTATACTCAGTGATTATTTCAATAACTTCCCCCAATTTTTTCCCTTTTTATTTTATTATATTCACTTATTTACTTAGATATACACAGATTTATATCATTTAACAGGATTTTTCTTTAAAACATTATGCTTTACCAAAAAGAAGAAGGTATTTGATGTGATTGTCTTTATTTCTAATGTCTAGGCTTCCTATTTCGTCCCAATTCTACAAAATTATGAGAGGATGGACTTATTTTTCTGATTTCAGTTTCAGTCAATTTTATCTTTCTCATCCTTATTTTTCTCTGCAGTCTATTAATGTACAACCATATGCAGAACAGACTCATGTATCTACTATGAACAGAAAGGAAAACTACAAAGAATGACAAACTACTAAAGACTCTTTAACCAATCAGAAATAAATACGTTAAGTGAACCAACTAGAGCACTGGAAAGCTGTTTTTTACTAGCACATGACGATACAATACTTGGCAAATTGCAAAATCTCATTTAACAAATAGTTTAAGGTTTTGCTGTGAAAATACAATCCATGGACCAAGGATCACATCTCTTGGGAGCTCTCAGAGACCCCTAGACCTGCCGCCTCAGAATCTGCATTTTAATAAGACCTTCCGGAGGACTGACATGCACATTACAGTTGGCTTGAGAAGCATCAGTTCAACGCATATTTGGGGGCCATGACATTTGCACAGCTGATACAAATAAACAAACATAGTAGGTGTGCTGCCCTTATAACCCTGGAAGGAAGGAATAGAAAATAGTTTGTGATGCTTGCTAAAAATAAGGCTTAACTTAACTTCAAATCTCCTACATGACCAACAAAAGGCTTAAAATGCAAAATGTCAGGAAAACGAGTTTTTGCCTCATTGCTATATATGTTAAATGTTATTCTTCTTGCTTTGAGAGGAAATAGGGGCCTGAAACTCATGGGGAAAAGATTCTGAAAATGAGGTTGAATCAAACTTAATGATTCTGCGGATTTGCCTCCAGCGGCTGTGCGAGGGCACACTGGAGCAGCTGAGTCAGGAAGTTCTTTCTGCCTGGGCCGGCTGTTTGCACATGCGCACAGGGTGTGTGTGCGCGCGCTCGAGAGAGAGCACAGGCAGCGACGTCACTGTGTGGTCCGAACAATTAATTAGTCACACTGTCTGCACGTGATATAGGAAGTTTATGAGCTTTTCGATTTTCTGAAAGGACAGCCAACTTGCTTTTAAAAGCATTTCATTCCCTGAGGATCATTTTACTCATCAGTTTTTATTTCATTCCCTGAGGACCATATTACTCACCACTTTTATAAAACAAGGTA